GGGTGACACGTTCCTGATGAGTTTATGATCTGGATCATTAGTTTCTAGTCTCATCTGATACAAAACGATGTTCATTTTGAAGCTAATGGTCCAATTTAGAAAAAACACAATAACGCGATGGCTGCTTTAAGACGCATTCAGTTCAATTCAATTTTATTTATACAGCGCCAAATCACAACAACAGTCGCTTCAAGGCACTTTATATTGCAAGGTAGACCTACAATAATACATACAGAGAAAATCCCATCATATGACCTCCTATGAGCAGCACTTTGGCGACAGTGGGAAGGAAAAACTCCCTTTTAACAGGAAGAAACCTCGAGCAGAACCAGGTTCAGAGCGGGGTGGAACCCAGCAGATTACTGTCATCTGTTTTTCAGTCACATCCGCCCCTCCCTCGTTCAGGTGCACTGAAAGTCACTCAACCTCAGCTGTCAGCTGGTCAGTTTTTGGCTAAATGATTTGATTTTATTTAGAAAGAGGGACAATACATATTAATGAACATTTTAACAAATGTAAATATGCCAGATTGTAGCCTTGGGCTAATTTCCATCTGCAGTGTTTGGCTTAAGGCCCCAGTTATTTTGTTTGCAACCTAAGTAGCAAAGGGACAAAAGATGCACCTCATTAGCCAAGCTAGTTAGATAGCACTATAGTCAGCTGACACAGTCACATAGTTTAACGTAGAGCTTGAGCGATACTGAATTTTTGAGGCCGATACCAATAACAATACTTGGAGATGTCCACCTGAATCTGCTTAGATCAATTGGTTATGTTTTTGGCAATTGAAAAACAAACGTGTTGCCAACAGTGAAAACACCAACACTGCTTTGGCGAACAAACTATGTGACATCAAAACTCATAAAATGGCAATAGGATGTTTCTACCCCCTCTTCTCTACTGCCAATGCCAATACATCTACAATTAGCAATTATATAATATCGGCCTGCCACTACATCCACAGTTAATATGAACCATTTCTTTGGCTCTCCATCATCACTGAGCAACACCTCAGTCTTTAGCTCCTCAGCTGTATTTCTTGTTCTTAAAAAAAAAACTCACTTTGAACTTTGTTCTCTGATTCTGGTGTTGGTCTCCTCCCTCCTCACTTTGTCTCTGTCTCTTCCTCTTCCCCTTTGAGTCAGTCTCCTCCATCTCCTTCTCTTTCCCTTCTTTTCAACATTTTTTTTTTGCAAGGCAAACACTTCCATCTTTGTTATGGGTGGCTGTTTAATACTGTCAGCCCCAGTGAATTAGAAGAGGCTTGATGTTTAGCTTGGTTTTTTTCTGTTGTGCAAATGGATTTCCCTCCAAAATACGAAGACAGAAACACATTTTTCTTACACCTTGATGTACCGCACCCATCAAGCCCTTATGTTTTGGTGACCATGTCAGGTTTCTGTCACTTTCTAAATAACCTCATACCTCATTGTTTTATGGTATATAACATGGTCATGGTAATGGGTTTTTTGTTTGTGTTTTTACTGGGAAGTGTCTCCACAAAACCCTCGCCTTTTTATTTAAAGTAATTCCATCATTGCTAAGACAGTGGAAGAGAATGGTAAGCTCTCCCTGGCTTTCTCCTCCACGCCTCACACCACCTCTTTCCCTATCAAAGCTGCATCCATCAAACACAGGAGAGGTGCTGGTGAGAGCAAGGGGAGTGGGTAATGGGACTTTCTTTTCATGCAGCCTCAAAAGCCGACATGCATATTTCACATTGGCAACCGCTTTGAGTGAACTCATGCACACAAAAACTACCCGGTCCGCACCAGTTTTACTGTGAGGACAAAGACTCTAAACTCTGTATGTTTGTCTGTGGCATCATTTGTATATGAAAGCGAGAGAGAACGCAGCTGCAACTGAATATTTTCTTCAGGAGAAGATAACATTAACTTCATTTGGAGAAGTCCAGTTTAACTTCAGATTCTCCTAATAATAGAGGCTATTTTTTGGGGGGGGGGGTGTCACAAAATCAGCTTTTCTGTCTCCTTTGTCAAAAAACTATTGTTCAATTCCATTAGCTCCAGTCCCCCAAGACCCAGATAAGGATAATCTCCAGAGATAAAAAAGAAATTGTTACAAGAAAGGTGTCAACTCAAGAAAATGTTCATTGATGTCTTGTCCAGATTTTGGGGGGAAAGGCCTGTCCTACATTCAAAACATTAGTCTATTAAATATCCTACAATAACTATACGAGTCGCTTACATCATACCTATTTGTTATGCAAAGACTAAAATTAAAAAAGCTTGTGGTATAAGGCTCATACTGTGCTGAGTGATAAATCCTGCTCTTTTAGCCTGTAATCACAAATTGTATGCAAAACACAACACATTTGAATCTTGTAATTGCTGATTATCAACATCTCCTGAAGACAATATTGTATTCGAAAACAAGAAAAACTCCAACGCTTTAGATACCACTTAGGAAATCACTGCAGAATTGCTTCAATATCCCTCTCTCCCTGAAATGGAACAGACTGTTGACTGCCTTCCATCTTGACTAAATCTCCGGAGCCCCAGAGACAAACAAGTGAATGAAATGAAGCAGAGGTGATTTTCAGGTGGCACCGCAGCAAGCATAACCATATAAAAAAAAAAAGGGAGGGGGGCCTTGGGAGTCTGTTGCATACCAAAATATATGAGGAGCACACTGCTTGAATATTTCAGTGTATGCTGGTGGCTTTTATTTAGCACGTAAGCGGGAAGAGCTGATGTGTGGGGATGAGAGGGAGAAAAACATGGGATCTGGGAGAGGGGAAATGGAGGTAAAAGGAAAAATACAAACATCAGATGAAGTAATAGTGCATACTGTAGATAAGATACTTGGTAGAAAACAAGCACCCAGCCTCCTCCTTGTCTGATCTCATTTCCACGCTAAGCTCCCTGCTTACAGCCTCGACATGTATCCTGTACAAAACAGGGGCAATGGGAGGTGGCACTGCCTGGGGCAACGTGCGTATGTATTCAAGTGTTTGCACATATTATAGGTCTGTGCACTCCTGAATGACAGCAACCCTCGTCATTTTCTTTCACTTACAGGTACAAGAGAAAGTTTGGAATTAACATAAGTCTTCATGTAAGTCACAGCAGTCTGACTAAACAAAATACACAATCTGATTTTTGCATTAGCAGTCACGTGCAGTGGAGGCCAGATAGGAGCAGCACCTCGTGCAACCTCTTTCAGCAGTAAACAAATGCAACAGGAGGCTTTTAGAAACGCTTTTTCCTGCAGGAGTGTTTCAGTGCATCCATCTTTCTTTGGATAACTGAGCAGCCTTCTTGATTTGACCATTCCAAGATATTACCCTTCTTCTTTTCTAAGTTTAATCTACTTATCTACTAAGTAAAGCCTGAAAAAATTCTGAATTCATTATTCCCCTACTGACTGCAAAGCAACCAGAGGCAGGACAGCAGACCCAAACCATGATGCTCCCTCCACCATGTTTCACTGTGTGGATAAAAGTTTTGGTATTGGTGTGAAATATTTTGACTTATTTTTGGCGTTTTGTTTTATTTTTTAACACAACATTGCACATTGTGGCATAAGATCATTGTTCTACGTCTGTCCTATAGGTATGAAGAAGTTAATTACCTCTCAAAATTTGTTTAGCACCAGACTTCAGATATGTGAAAAAGTGAAAATACACTCTTTGTAAGCATTCTGGCATCAGTCACCATGATAATTAAAGCAAAGCTATTTGGCTGAGAAAAATGAGGCATAACCATTGGGGAATTTGGGATTTTAAACGTTTTACGGACATAAGTAACCATAAGTTGCTAAAGTATATTATTGGCATGATTACTGTTTTTACTACATATATGAATAAAATGGTAAAAAGTTAATTAACCATATAAGTGTTGATGTTGCATGGTTTATCCACCAGAGGGCACTCTGCAATTTCCCTGTTGGCAACATCCCTGTTAACAATTATAACAACCAGATGATCACCGCACTGTTGGGTAGATCGTAAATGAGGAAATAAGAAACTACTCTTAACAAATGTTAGGAAAATCTGCCTATGTTTGTGTCTGAAAGAACGAACGCATCGGCTGAGATGTCGGACTTTTAAATCAAAATATCAATCCTATCAGTTGGATTGATACAGCAACAACAACAACAACAACAAAAAACCTACACATGACACGCTTTCTTTTCTCGTAACCTTGTATGTTATTCTGCTGATAACTGTCCCTTTATGTTCCCCAGCTATAGCAACAGTTGAGTTTAGCGTGTTGCCAACATATTATGACCTCAGCAGTGTAGTCATTTGAGGTGCCGAAATACAGAAAACAGAGTTTCAAACACTTTAATACATACTAAGACTTATTTTTAACAAAAGTCAAGACATTACTTGACTCTTTAATGACCTGCGGCCAACTTGACTCTTGTGAAACATCAAATGGTCTTTTGCAAATTAAAAAAATAAATAAATAATAATAATAAACATTGTGACCCATCATTTCTTTCTTGAAGATCCGTGTTTTCCTTTGTGCTACTTTTCCATGAACACATTCTTATCGGGTGGGTTTTTGTTTAAGTGGACACGTGAACAAAGGTTTTAGTAACTTAGAGATTTCTGCTTGTATTTTGCTGTTAACTTTGGATCCTTATGTTTTCTTTAAATTTACAGACTTTGTTCTTGGTGTGATTCCAAGCTTTAGGACAGAGGTTCTGTTAATTTTTTATAGTCTGCATTGTGATTGATTACTTCATGTGTTCAATGAAGATCAACCACATTTTCACCTAAATGCAAAAATCCCACTATGTTGTATGGATGTCTGAGTGTGTATGTGCGTGCTTCCTCGCACCTTTGTGCAGGTATACACACAAAGCAGCTCGGAGCCCTGGGCACCTCATTAGCCTCCACCTCATTATGGAGTTTTCTATCTGTGTTTTCACTTCTCTGCTTCTCAGGCCAGTGGTTCTACTCATGACAGGCCATCCCTGAAGCACTAGAATAATAAGATAAGCTTAACCCAATATAAATGAATGGAATCAGGTTAATGTCCATGTTAAGTTGCACTGGGATGCTGCACTGATAGTCCCTCAGACCAGTGGAGTAACTTCTTACAAGAATTTCATAGCTAAAAGACCACTAACCATACTTGCATTATTTCAAGTTATTCTGTAACTTACAATGAGTAGATAGTTAAAGGTTTCTCACACAGCTGGCCTCGGGGCTGGCCTATTTATGTTTATTGAAGTGTGACATTCTGAAGGGAGACAACAAATCAATCAGATTTTAAATGTCTTCATTGATATAACTATTAAATGACATGTGAAATCACTATTGTCAAGAAAAAACACTGATTTGTGGTTACGACAACTTTGTCACTTTGTGTAACTTATGAGTGTTAACACATTACTTCTGAGCCAACTAAACCATCTGCACACATTTAATACAAATTACCTAGTAAGCCAAAAAAATCTATTAATTAAAACTGTATTTTTTTAAGGTAAAATCAGTATTGATTATTGTAGGTTCTTCGAAAGCATCTCAAGGTGACTATTGTTGTGATTTGTGGCTATATGAACATAACTCAATTCAAGTGAATTGAACTAATAGAGTGTAATGACAGGTTGGAAAAGTTGTTTTTTTAATGAACATTACAAAAAAACATCCAATACACAGTATATGTAGACTTAAAGTGATACTGATTCATATTAAGTAGCTACAATATGCATTTACCCATCAACAGAGAAACTGAGCAAACCCGATCTGAGTGAAATCAGCTGATATTAATTTTATACGTATGATAAAATATGTAAAAGCGCAGCAGCTCTGTGTGAGAAACAAATGCCTGTAAAGTATTTTTTATGCATTTCTACTGATCACCATGAGAAAAAAAGGTGTTTATGAGTTTTCCTAGCTTTTAACCATATTGTCCAATGTGCACAACTGTGACTAATAGTTCAATGTTTCAAACATAATGCTCAAGATGTTTTGAAGAAAATGACTTCTTATATCGGCCATAACAGAGCACCCAACTGTAATAAGAAATGCTTCAGTAGAACTAACGAAGCACAACAAAAAGATATGAAACTGCCAACCATGCAGAGTGAAAGTTAAAAGGGATCTAATCCCATGCATGTAATTATTAAAATCATGTGTGTTCTTCGCTTGAGCAGCTGTGTATATGCCCCATGCCAAATCATGCAGTGCTTAAGTAAGGGTCTTCCCATTTTACACTCGCAGGCAGATAGAAAAACATTAAATAAAGTAAGTAAATAAATCAAGATACTGAGACTTGAGACGGTATTTTTACTCTAACACTCAACTACTCTTCACAGTTTGTGCCCCATTTTTCGACCTATATCGTTTTAATTATTGTCATGTTTTTCCCCTCTGTGTAAGCCATCTCACATGTTCTGTCTTTAAGGTGTCCAACATCATCAGTGCCTCTAATTCCAGGACCAAATCTGCCTAAAAGCAGAAAAGGGAAAACCCTGCTAGGTGAGGTGGTGTGTGTGCAGCTGGAGGGGTCTCACCTCTTGAACAGAAGCTTGTTGAAAGAGAGGAATAAGAGGATTAGTTCTCGGTATGTCAATGTGAATCTGCAGAGAGAAGGAGAGAAAAAAAAAAAGACAAACACTGAAGCAACGGGCAGGTTAGCACAGATTTGGCCATTACAGACAGTGACAGGAACGGAGAGCGAGAGGAACAGTTAGTGGATTGGTGTCTCTGATTGAAGTCGGACTGGGGTTTCAGTTTTCTGAAATGGATAGCAGCTGTGGTCTTGAATGCAGCACTGCATATGAGAGCCCTTGCATGCTAAGATGCCTCTACGATAATATGTGCTTGCATCAATGTGTGTGTGTGTGTGTGCGTTTATGCATGTACGAGACCACATTTACACCATTTCAGAGTGTTTACCCCGCAGACGACCGATACGACAGGCGGACAGATTCATCAGAAGGGAGCCAGGCGGATGCAGGGCGGCAGCTGGAGCCAAGCCAACTGAAATAGCCCGGTCTGTTTGTAAGAGTGCGCGGCTGGTTACGGGACTGGGCATTGGGTCCACATCCAGTCCACCTTACCTCTGTCACCTTTGGCTGCAGCACCAAAGATTCAGGACTCATCCTAGGAATGTCTATGTGGATCTGACAGCAACATGGGAGAGAATGTGTTAGACACACACGGACACACACACATAAACACAAACACACACAATATAAACGTCCTCCACATGTACTGCATTTTCAGACTTTTTCAGGTGTTCTAAAGAAATGACAAAGGACATAAAGTGGAGTTATTACACTCACACCCAGTTCTATATTATATGTTGGAATGTATAGGGTAGCTTTGCATGATTACTTATAATCCTTATTTGTCTTATAGTGTATCAGTTCATCCACTGTTTTCAAAAAGCCACTCTAGCTAGTGGCTGCCCCTCACAAACAGAAGGTTTGAGCAAAAGATGGGTGGGGCCTCAGACGCCAAATAATTTACACATCTTCTGTCTTGATAGCATACTTAGTCAAGAGCAGTAATAAGAAGAACTTTGAGCATTTGGCTCACAGGGATGGCTTCCACATATAGTGATGTTTCTACATCGAGCGAGGACGTTTTTAGAGGTCTGGCTTGTCTCTTTGTTGGTGCGTTTCCAGAATTACTTAATGTAATAAACAGATTTGCATTAAAAATATCTAATGTGGAGCGCGGCCCATCTTAGAAATGGTTAATATCTTGATGCATGCGTCCCTCTGCAACAAAGCCACACTACTAACCACAGAGCCACCAAAACTTACTACAAACCAATGCTAAATCCTCCTGGATTTAATGACTGAGTTGAAACAAGGTATGGAAGGAAGCTTTGGTCATGTTTAATATGAGCGTGCACCATTTTCATAGAATATATGACAGAAAATAAGCTAAAAGTATTCAAGGCCACTTTAAAATGGGAAGTTGTGGTATTTCCCATGAAGCAGGTCGAGGTGGTCTCTTTGAGAATATAATAATTCTCTATGTAAGTTCCAGTAGCATTCAGCTCACTGTTTTAAAATTGTATTTTGACATTTGACATTTTGTAATTGATAAGGCCATCGTAAATGAAGGGTCGGTATTTTCATCCTCTAGTGGTCCAAATATTTTTAATGCACCAGAAATAAACCAACAAAATGCCATCTCCACACAACACTCTTCTCTGCTTGCTTGAAAGATAACAAAAAAAGACCAAAGCTAGATTTTTTTTAGCTCACTTTCTCCTGGGGAAGAATGAAACTGCTGCAGTACATCAAAAGGGTTTGCAGTTCAAGCTGGGACATCCGTATGCGCGCGCGCACACACACACACACACACACACACACTGTGGGCAAGTTACAAGGAACATAAACAAAAATATAAAAGAGACAAAAGAACAACCTCGAAACAGACGGACATTCAGAATGGATGATGGACACACAAACACAAGGATGACATGTAACAGAAATGAGCGGAGCCCTGTGTGATATCACTTAAAATTAATGACATACTTGAACAGTAGACCCACTTTCTCTTTACAAAATAAAGACTACACAGACTTACTATATTAATAATTGCAGGCCACAGAGTAGAAACTCAGTGAAGCAAATGAACCTCCTAGTGTTCCTTCTTCTTGTGCTTTTGGCAGCGTGATTTGGATCGCCATCACGCTGCAGTATTTCTCATGTTGTCAGCCAGTATTTTGGTAAATTCACAGGCATTGATGGTCCCATCTATAAATGTCATCTCCCTTTTGCACTCAACTAGCTCCAAATCATCACACCCCTGCGCTCTCTGTGCTTCACTATCAGGACTATGCATTCACTGTAGTGGTCCTGCTGAACCGCGCGTGAGCCAAAATAAATTTCCTCTTTGTGCTTCTTTTTTAAAGTCTACACCGGGTTTTTTTCTTTTCTTTTTTAAGTTGTTCGAACAGGCTGACATTACAAACTGTCCTTTACACTGTCTGAGCTACCACAGAAACACTCTTTCCATGGATAAACCCTGAGCCAAATCTGAAGTACTTGCCCAAACTTAAGGTCCGAGCCCCTTTGCAGCTATGTATCTTAACCCACATTCGGTGCTCAAATTCTGGCCTGCCTACATGCAAATTCATCTGCACAGTGATGCGGTGCCCACCTCATAACAGACTGTTGAAAACCTTTAGAAATATTTCAAAAAACAAATTAAATATGGATAATTAAATATGATGTCTTTTCCTATGCCCGATACTTTCAGTAGCTGTCTTATTTCTGCAAAGTTTACCGACTGCGGTTTATTGCAGTATTTTGCTACATTAAACACTAACAGCTGGGAAACTTGCAGATGTTTTGTTGAAGCCTTTATGTGGACCAAATTGCATGTAAGACAGACTTTTGGGATATACAACATTACGTGGGATGTTATTTTGTGGATTAAATTAAACCATGTCATTAAACTGCATATGCCTGACCCTTGGTGTGATCCCCATTTCCTGGCGTGAACCTTAGTAAAATTGAGTCTGACACTCGTGCTATACCTTTTGATTACTTCTGCAGCCGTCTCATTTCGACTCATTTATGGTTGGTCACTGATATTCCTGTATGCTTTACATGTGGGAGAATTCTCACAATAAATGCATTTCTAGCTCCTCGGGCAGTTCTTCTCCACGAGGAGCTATGATGCAGACACGTAGATTAAACATGAAGAAAGTTCTTGATCACTTCAGTTTATTTTAAGTCTTTGCTTTTTAGCAAAACTGTGATTAACATGGGTATTTAATTTTGCTGAACTGAGTTTCTACTTTGGGGGTCTTTCTTTTCACTGTATTGTTTTTAAAGTCTTTGTTTTCGACTCTTCATAAGAGGAAATGATCTACTTAAAAAATGCAGCTATTTAGAGATCGCACAGTTTCAAATGATGTCAAATGAACACGTCTGTGCAACAGAGAATATGCATTCTCATCTCAAACACTGCACTTTACACACTGTGCATATAGCACCACTTTGTTTTCTATTACATACAGTAAGCTACTTTTTATCTCATTTTATTTTACTTCTGTACTTATTTCATCCAGTCTTATTTACAGTAAGCAAAACCGCACAGGGGCGTCTTCCGATCTGTTGAGTACTGTATGTAAACACACATACAACCACGTAAATATGTATAAAGAAAAAAAAATCAAAAAAGAAAAGAAAGAAAAATACAGAAACCCAATACAAACCCACCATCCTGAGCAACATGAATGCCAAAGTAACATATGTACAAACACACATAATCAGGCACACAGCAAAAATAAATAAACAAACAAACAAACTAGAAATCACTAAAGCACAAGTAGAATCTGGCAGAAAAAGGAGGCTTCAAGACACAATCCAAACAATCATCAAAACAAAGTATGCCAGCTCCCTGGCACGGTGCAGAGGAGATCAATGGGAAATTGGACGGAATGTGAGAAATGTGTGTTTTTGCTATCGACAGTTCACTTTGATGTTCCTTATCGGCTCAAAATGAATGGGAAGTAGTCGAGTGTAAGAACGAGGGGATGGTGTGTGTGTGTGTGTGTATCCGTGTGTGGTGGTGGTGGGGGGTAAAAACGGATATTTTCAGAACCAAACAGAATACTGTTAATTTCAGTATCTCTCTGAAGCCGCTCGTCTCTGGTCTGTGACACAGACACACACAGATGAACAAACAATCAGACGAGTACATGAGGGAGAAGGACGAGAGAACAAAGGAACACAAGCAAGGGGGGGAAAAAAATGCAATAAAGATCACATTTTTGCCAAATAACTAGTGGCAGTAATCCTGACTGCAGGGCCAAATTCTGTAAAAAGGCACTCTTTACACACACACACACACACACACACACACACACACACACATATATATATATACACAAACAAACAAACGCTTACACTGTTTGTGTCCTAAATTCATGCTGAGCTAATACATTGGCAACGGGAGGATGCTCTTGTAATTAGAAAGAGTCTTTCTGGAGACTTTCATTCATTCTGTCCCTCAAGTTGGGGGATTCAGAAAACTATAGGCATACGAGATGTGTGGGCTCGTGTATATGCATGTACCTGTCTGTATGTGTCTTGATGATGCTCATCATTGCGAGAGTCGTAGTATTGCTGGATGAAGCCGAAATATTCTTGCCTCTTCCTCTGTAGAACGCTTTCCCTCCTCTCTGCGTTGGCTGGCAGGTAACCCTGATAGACAGAGAGTGAGAAACATACAACATCACCCATTTAAATGTTGATGTAAGTCACACTGTAGATTTGATTTTTCCATTTATCTTCTCAGTTCTTCATATATTCTTGTTTTTGGATCCGACTCAATTCAGTAAGAGTTCAGTTTTGAAGTAAAGTTACAGCTGAAAAAAAATGCTGTATTTTAATTCACTTTCTTGCAGACAGCTCAAAGAGAAGATTGATACTACTTTCATGCCTGTGTATTATTGATGAAGCTGAGGCCTGGAGCTGGTTAGCTTAGCTTGAAAAGAACCTATTTGGCTCATTTTCAACTCCAAACTTTTAACTTTGACTTGACTTGAGTGGCTTTGCATAATTCACACTTCAAGATAATCCCAATTTTTCTTATTCTGGGCTTCGGTTCAGCTACCTTTTAGAGCTGCTCTCGCTTTGAGTCATGTTCTTCTCATTGGCTGTCACTCACAAACAGTAGGTTTGAACAGCAGGTTGGCGGGCCTGTTGTACAGCAAGGATAGTCTATGCCTGAGAACATATATTACAGATATCAACTGTTTATTAACGCATAACAGTACGCTTTATTAGGTACACCAGCTCAAATGCTCATTAATATCTAATAAGCTAATTACAAGTAATGCTCTTCTGCCAAGGTATGCAGAGGAAATGAAAATTTAAGCAGCAGAAGACCACACTGGATGCCACTGCTGTTAACTGACAACAGGAAACTGAAGCTACCGTCCACACGGGCTCAGCAAAATTGGACAACAGAAGACTGGAAAAACACTGAGTGGTAAGTTGATACTCTTATTCCCAAAATATTAACAAACAGAGGATTGGCTTTGAATGTTAAGGCTGGCCAGAGCTTCACATTTGCCAGATACTCATCTAACTATTACTACAGGCGTGACTTCTACCATTAGCTCAAAATGCTAACTCATTTTGACGCTCACCATATCTCTTGTAGGATTAGTAGTGAGTAACCAATTCACCTGTCTTTTTCTAATACATGCAAACATGCTTGTCGATTCCACATGGGATTCATTAATTGAGCATATATTCAGGGAGGCCATCTTTCCAGTGTTTAAAAACACACAATGGTTTTAGGTTTCCCATCTCAGTACTATTTGTTTCTGTTAGTACCATTTAATGAGCTTTTATTTTAAAACTTGCTCTCAAAAAAAAAACTTGCTTTGAGGTTTTTTTGAGCCAAGTTCAATCACAACCCAGACTCCACCACCTGGGACTACATGGTTTGTAAATGATACACTTCACTTTGCAAAGAAAACTTTCTGCTTCCTGCCCAAATGCTTTCTGCTTCTTCAGGGAGTTACCTTTAAATGGGTATTTGTACGCGTGTGGAGGGGGGTGTTTGTCAGACGGCATATGTGAGCATGCATTTGTGAAAGACTGTATCCTGGTTATGCGGTCAGGCTTATGCAATGAGGAGAAAGTCAGCCCTAAAACGAACAAAAAAAAATACATCTATTAAAAGTGAGAGCTGGGGCTAGGCGTTCTGAAATATTCAGAGAGTTACAATCTTCAAAACTGAACTCAAACATGACTTCAGGCCCTGAAAACTACTTCCCGTAAGAAAAAGCTGGTTCATCTAGCTGTGAAACATTCAAAGGGTCCCTTTTTATTTTAAAATGACATCTATGAATGAACCATTTTTTGCCATTTTTCTCTGAAGAGCTTTGATTATGACAACAGACAAAACGACTGCCTGTTATCAACCGCCTGTTAGATGACAACTAAGCAATCTCAGAGACTGAATAACGTCCACCCGCTGCAGGTAAAAGCCCTCTAAGAAATATAATAAATGCGCCTTCAGGTTTTAGATTGTGCTTATTGTGTTGTGTCTGCCTGTTCTTTCTGTGCCTTTGTGGGTTCATGCAAGCTACAGTGGGGCAAAAAAGTATTTAGTCAGCCACCGATTGTGCAAGTTCCCCCACCTAATATGATGACAGAGGTCAGTAATTTGCACCAGAGGTACACTTCAACTGTGAGAGACAGAATGTGAAAGAAAAATCCATGAATCCACATGGTAGGATTTGTAAAGAATTTATTCATAAATCAGGGTGAAAAATAAGTATTTGGTCAATAACAAAAATACAACTCAATACTTTGTAACATAACCTTTGTTGGCAATAACAGAGGTCAAACATTTACTATAGGTCTTTACCAGGTTTGCACACACAGTAGCTGGTATTTTGGCCCATTCCTCCATGCAGATCTTCTCGAGAGCAGTGATGTTTTGGGGCTGTCGCCGAGCAACACGGACTTTCAACTCCCGCCACAGATTTTCTATGGGGTTGAGGTCTGGAGACTGGCTAGGCCACTCCAGGACTTTCAAATGCTTCTTACGGAGCCACTCCTTTGTTGCCCGGGCGGTGTGTTTTGGATCATTGTCATGTTGGAAGACCCAGCCTCGTTTCATCTTCAAAGTTCTCACTGATGGAAGGAGGTTTTGGCTCAAAATCTCACGATACATGGCCCCATTCATTCTGTCCTTAACACGGATCAGTCGTCCTGTCCCCTTGGCAGAAAAACAGCCCCATAGCATGATGTTTCCACCCCCATGCTTCACAGTAGGTATGGTGTTCTTGGGATGCAACTCAGTATTCTTCTTCCTCCAAACACGACGAGTTGAGTTTATACCAAAAAGTTCTACTTTGGTTTCATCTGACCACATGACATTCTCCCAATCCTCTGCTGTATCATCCATGTGCTCTCTGGCAAACTTCAGACGGGCCTGGACATGCACTGGCTTCAGCAGCGGAACACGTCTGGCGCTGCGGGATTTGATTCCCTGCCGTTGTAGTGTGTTACTGATGGTGACCTTTGTTACTTTGGTCCCAGCTCTCTGCAGGTCATTCAC